GGATTTTCCCACCTGGCTCCATCCTGCCCTGCCATAGGCCAATGCAGCTTTATTTATCAACCAACCAGAGCAACATATATTCACGGCGTACAGAAAGATATCCCACAGGACTGTCCCTGGACTGTTTTGATGTTAAAAGATTTATAATACATGGCCTGACTCAGTTTAGCAGTTTTCCACAATCCAATTTTTTTAGTAGCTTAGTAAAGTATTATACAGTCTATCCCTGAGGTCCTCATATCCCCTTCTGTTTAACAAGCATGCCTACAAATTGAGTGGAGGCTTCTTGTAAAGGCCAGTTGGAATCCCAGGATTCTTGTGAAATGATAGATATATCAGTATCAGAATCCAATAATCCTCCAGTCTTAATCCCATTTAATTTTACTTTTCATTTAGGCTGTTCATCATTGATAACTGTTTGCCCCAAAACCTTTTTTTTCTGTACTTCCAAATCCTCCAGTTCTACATATAGGTGCCACTTTGTCTTTAAGATATTTTATGGGCCGGGCGGTGGTGGCGCACGCCTTTAATCCCAGCACTCGGGAGGCAGAGCCAGGTGGATCTCTGTGAGTTCGAGGCCAGCCTGGGCTACCAAGTGAGTTCCAGAAAAGGCGCAAAGCTACACAGAGAAACCCTGTCTCGAAAAAACAAAAAAAAAAAAAAAAAAAAAAGATATTTTATGGAAGCAATAATAATTGAGCAATTCTATCACCAGCTTCTTTTTCCATGGTCCTTTTTACATATGCCATCTATAAAAGCATTAAAGACAATTTCTATAGGATTTTAAGAGGTAACTTTAGAGTATTTTTATAAAATCTTAAAAAGAGAACCCTTTTTTGTAGATCCTAAGTAACACGTTAATGCAACTTGCCGATTATTAACAGTGTGGATCAAACAATTAACCTGTATTTTATTTAGTGGAAAAATAATTTTATAAGCTCTCCATCAGCAAGAGATCACTTTCCGTGAGTTTTCATCTTAGTAGCCATATTATCTATTAACCTAACAACGCGTTCTGTTTCAGGTGTTACATTTTTATAGAATTTAACCAAGAATTTTCAGAAAGCAACTTAAAGAGCAGAGCCAAATTGTCAGTAATGATCAACAGACAAGAGCATACCCAATATATAGTTTAAATTATGAATCCTGTTCCTTTAGTTTATCTACCATGGAAATCAAACATTCATCCAAACATTTATTAGACAATCAAAAGACGAGAACATCCTCCATACAATGAATGATTAATATTTCTGGAAATTCAGACAGCATCGACTTAGCATTTCATGTCCCAACCGCAACCATTCTTCACCAGAAGTTGGGCCTTTTTTAACTTCCTCTTTCTCCCATGAAGGGACTACTAATATTGAGTTATTCCCACCATTAGGGAAAAACAAAACATTTCCCATGGAAGGATCTTTAATATTGAGTTGTTTCCGCTCTGAGGGAAAAACGGAAAACATTTGAACCAAAGTTAAGCAAACAGACAACCCAGTTCCAAACTCTGGGCTTGCTGGCTGGTTCAGGCTGCAGCAGTGAGCCCACCAGTCGATTCTTTGTAATTCAGATGCTGCCACTCTGTGCTGGCAGGCAGATCGGTGCAAGAGCTCAGAGTTTTAGCTATCTTCAATTTCTTATATTGGAAAGAGCTGTTTCTTCCTCTGTTTCTACTAGGAAGAGGCTTTTTTCTTTTCTTTATTTTTCTTTTATGGGGCCTTTTAATCTTTAGGACTAGTTTCAATATTTTTCCCCTCTTTACTGGGAAAATCCTTTTTTTTTTTTTTTCTTGAGTAAACATTTCTCCCTTTTCCATGGAGAAATTTCCTTTTATTTCCTTTCCTTCCCTCTTTACTATTGAGAAGATTTCCTTTTTTATTTTCTTTGCTTTCCCTTTTCTTTACTGGGGAGTTCCTTTTTTATTTTTTTGCCTCGGGGGTCTTGTATTTAACGTGCAGTTAACCTTTCAGCCTTTCTTCTAAATCTGTTTCATCTGATGAAGGAAGAGAGTCATCTCCAGTGTCCTGGCTTTCCTCAGTTTTATTGACCTTTGAAACAGCCTTCCTATTGATCTGTGAAGGAGCATTCTCCTCTGCTGACTGACAATTTCTAGCCTGAGTGTCTTCCCTTTTATTTTCCTGTTCTACTTAAGATACAGCTTTCAGCGATTCCTCATGCTGCAACAGCTCCAGAGCATTTGATACATAAATTTGATTAAATACATAAAGACCAAATTCTTAACGGTATGGGCTCTCCTTTCTGATGAGCTCCCCCCAAAGCTTTCAATACTTCATTCCATACCTTCGGTTTCAGTTGAACATGAGGAGTTGCCTGAAACCAATGGCAATGCCATTTAATTAATATAAAAGCTCTGTAAGCTATTTTTCCTTCACGTTCACTCTGCTTACTTTTAACAGGCATTTTAATAACTGCACACACCACTGCTTCTGAGACGGGAAGTTTCCCATGACCCTGCCAATCCTGGAGTTCCCTTACCCTGAGGGCGCTTCCTTCCAGTTCTTAAGATGGCCAGCTCCTCTGTCCTTCTTTATCGGATCCTTTGTCCTTCTTCAAGCTATGAGTTGGGGTTCAATTTTGGCAGCATGGGTGTGTGAGTTCACTTCGGTCCATTGAATGAAGAAGACTCAGAAGCACCTTAAGAATGAAGCTAGCCTTTTGCGGCTACAGGGGGATCCAGCCTCTAAGGACTAAAGACTTGCTTTCCCTGCGCCCCAGGCATTTTTATTGTTCTACATATTTACACTTTAGCCAGTTGATTTCCATATGTTCAAAACAACCTGAAAGGAGCTTCCAAAAATACAGTGCCAAATGCAAATTTCTTAATTCATCAGGTACCACAGTTTTCCGGGTTTCCAAACCAAGTTTTGCATAGATTTGTATCCTTGGGAAACTCTCAGACAAGATTCACATAGGGCTACAAGAGAAACAAAGGGTAGCTGCTGAACAAAAGATGGATTAGGGCTAGGTGCTACTCTATGGAGCCAGCCCAGGAGTAGCCCATTGGGAATGCTGCCTCAGCTGGGAGATACCTCTCTGTACTGGGCCTGTGTGAGACTGCGAGAATTAGCCATGCTGCTGCTCAGGCCTGCCTGCAGCAGCCAGGGCACAAGTCTCCATGCCACAGCCCACATAACAGACATGAACTATGAAGCTGCTGTCAGCTCTGTTTTTATGTGTCTAGAACCCTTTTTAAAGCTTTTTTTATATGGATGTACATGCCGCACGTTTGGGCTGCTATGTGTAATTGGATATTTCCTGTCCCGACCACCTGGTCCCCAAATAGCCAACTCAGAGGCTGAATATGAATTATACATGCTCGGCCAATAGCTCAGGCTTGTTATTAGCTAACTCTTACATTTAAATTAACCCATATTTCTATTTATGCTTTGCCACGTGGCTCGTGGCTTGTTACCTCATTTTCTACACATCTTGCTTGCCCTGCAGCTGGCTGGCATCTCTCTTGACTCTGCCCTTCCTCTTCCCAGAATTCTCCTAGTCTGGCTCTCAAGCTCAATCTCTTTCTGCCCAGCTATCACCCAATCAGCCTTTTATTAACAATGAGCATAATCCACAGCAGTCAGTCGATGTCATTTTCTGCAGTGGTAGTCATAAGCTGCTAACCTTTCCTTCCTGAGACAGAGCTGGTCTGCACAGTTGACATGGTTACTTGTTTTCTCATAGTGAGCAGTCTGTAGGATGTCAGGGCTGGCTCTTCTCTCACCTGTTGTCTTTGTCTTTGTAATACAGAAAAGGAACCTCTTGTTGGCATTTGAAGCAGCTGAAAGTGTAGGCATCAAACCCAGCTTGGTAAGTATCCTATTTTGTATCTTTTTGATATTTTTTTCTGCTTCATGAGAAAGAACTTCCTGCTACCCACTGAGTAACCAATAAAGGATACTCAGATCCATTTGCTGATCTGTTATTCAGGATTTCTAATATAAAGTGATCCAGTTGGTCTGAAAAGGATGTTTTGTTTGTTTGTTTCTAGTTGTTGTTGTTGTTGTTATTATTATTATTATTATTATTATGTTTGTGGGTGTTTTGCCTGCGTGTATTCTATGTATCCCATGTGTGCCTGGTGCCTGTAAAAAAGAGATGCCAGATCCCCTGAAACTAGAGTTAGAGGTGACTATGGGCCATCACGTGGGCTCTGGGAACCAAACCCAGGCCCTCTGGAAGAGCAGCCAGTGCTCTTAACTGCTAAGCCATCTCTCTAGCTCTAGACTCAGAGTCCTCAAAATTAAGATTTCATTATGAATAAATTTCAGTTCTGGCAAAACAGTGAGCTAGATTATTATTAAAATTTTCTTGTTTGTATCACCAAGAAATCTCAGTGAAATGTCTTTAAAAAAAAAATGACACCAAGGTGTTGTGGTGCACATCTTTAGTCCCAGCACTTGGGAGGCAGAGACAGGCAGATCTCTATGAGTTCAACACCAGCCTGGTCTGCATAGTGAGTTCCAGGATAGCTAAGGCTATGTAGTGAGACTCTGTCTCAAAAAAAAAATAAAATAAAAATAAAGAAGTATCAAATTTTGGGCCAGTGGGACCAGGAAAAAGCACTTAACTCCAAGCCTGATGACTTGAATTCAGTCTCTGGTTCTCACATGTTGGAAGGAGAGAACCAAGTCCCAAAAGTTGTCTTCTGACCTCTCCTTATGTGCCTGGGCTGTACGTACATATACAAACTGAATAAAATAAATGTAAAATGTAATAATTTTTTCAAAAGCAAAAAGAAAATATCAAGTATAACTGAGCTCTCAAGAAAGTATAAAAAAGAGCTGCATGGTGGTGGTGCAGGCCTTTAATCTCAGCACTCAGGAGGCAAAGGCAGGTGGATCTCTGAGTTCAAGGCCAGCCTGGTTTATATGGTGAGTTCCAGGACAGTCTCCAAAAATTAAAATTAAAAAATGTGTGTGTGTGTGTGTGTGTGTGTGTGTGTGTGTGTGTATGTGTGTATGTGTGTGTGTGTGTGTGTGTGTGTGTGTGTGTGTGTGTGTGTGTGTGTACACATATCAGAAATTTAAAACAAAGTGAAAAGTGAAGCTGTGAGCTATGAGTCAGATGTGAAAACTCCACCTGCTCCTGGAGAGGTGATGAGGTTTGTCTCTGCCTTGTGGGGTGGGATGGGGTACAAAGACCAGATAAGGTTTGGAATCCAGATTTCTGTCTGGAGCACCTAGCTAAAACTGCAGTGCAGGAAGCTCCTGACATTTAATGACTTCTGAAATATGCACAAGCCAAAATTACAGAGCAGACAAGAAAAGATTGACTTGAGCCAGCCAGCAGGTACACCCAGTGAGAGAGAGGATTACCTGCCAGAACCGGGTCACAGGTATTAACTGTTTAACTCTGTCAGGGAGATGAGGGACCCTGGAGAGTTGTCTCAGGGGGTGAAGAGCCTGCTGGGCAAGCATGATGACCAGTGTGTAATCCTAGCACGGGAGGGTCCTGCTGGCCCGTGAGCTCCTGACAGTCTGAGGGTACCTGTCACAAAAAAGTCGAGAGGGACTGAGGAAGACACTGGGTGTTGACTTTTGACCTCAGCACACCTATGCACCCCCACACAGCACATGCACACATGCTAAAATGTTTAAGAGAACATATGTGGTGGCACATATCTAATTCGTTTCCAGGAGCTGAGGCTTAGCTTGACTCATGAGGTCAAGCCCAGGCTGTACAACATAGTGAGACTTCCTCCAGCTCCAAAAAATGAGAGGGAGAGGGAGAGGGAGAGAGGGGGAGGGGGAGGGAGAGGGAGGGAGGGAG